CAAGGAAATGGTAGAAGAAGACCCCCAACGCAGAGCCCCATGTCACTCACCTCAGGCAGGCTGGCCCCGGCACACACAGCATGGGGAACGTCCTTCTCAGCCATGGACCCCACCCGCGCGCTGCCCGTGAGGGGAACCACAGGCCTCCATCTTCCCGTCCCAGCGCCATCGGCACCGCCGCCCCGAGCACCTGGGGTTTTCACCGCAACACCTGGTGGCTTGGGGCTGGCGCAGTCCCCTGAGCTGAGCCGAGGTGAAGCAGCCTGAGGCAGAGAAGCCTCAGGACTCCCTTCTTGCCCTCAGGCGGCCCCGGAGTTTCTGGACCGGCTCCCTCAGTTCCTTCAGCTCCTTCCTCCGTCACGGCTCCCTCACGGCTCGGGACAGCGGCCGCTAGGGGGCGCTTGGCGGCCGCGCCACAGCGCCGCCTGGCGGTGCCCCGTCACTGCCCCGGGTCCGTCACTGTCCCCACGTGTCCCGTGTCCCATCACTGTCCCCGCCTGTCCCGTGTCCCATCACTGCCCTCACCTTTCCCGTGTCCCGTCACTGCCCTCACCTGTCCTATGTCCCGTCACGTTTCCCCGCCTGCCCCATCCCCTGGCACCCTGCCCGCAGCCCCCGGGCACAGGGCTCTTCTCGCGGCCGAGCTGCACTCGTGTGTGAGCTAAGTGAGGAATGGACCCTCCATGACTGAAGGGCACAAGTCACAGTCACTCACCTGCTGGTCACCCCACAGCCTGCTGGCCTCACCTAATGCCCTCTCCATTCCAGCTGCATCACAAAACAAGCAGCTACACAGTGGCTTTTAAAAACTCCCTGTTTCTCCTGGCCCATGGTAGAAGTCAGCAGCTGCCGAAGTTTAACTATACTGTGCAGTCCAGTAATTTCTCCACCTGCTCTCAGGATTTGCTTTACTTGGCACGAAGTCTGAGAGTGAGGAACTCCAGGAAGCACAATAGCATGCAAGACACCCAGTGCAGAATAGAAAAATCAGCCATTTACATCATCATGCATAATTTTATTTCAATTTCGCTTTATTTCAAAAATAACTAAGGGACACCATAAACAGCAGTAGGCACATCAGTGGGGTTTGCAGTTTGAGTCTCTCAAGACCAGATCTCTCATGCCAGGTGCCATACAGGCACAGTCAAACAATTCTTGTCTTCAGGGTGAATTTCTCAAAAAGATTCAGGATCCCAGTCTCGCTTGCTTAAGTCAGTATTAAAACTAAAGTAGATTGAAAGGAATGCAGATAAGGTAAAATGAGTGGGCTTCTAGACATGCCCCCCTCCCCCAGAAAAATATTGGAAAAGATGCATCAAGCAAAAATATATTTCCTTTCCCCTTTACTTGGAAACCAACGCAGGAGAAGACTAAATCCCTAGTCCAAAGCTCTTAATGCTGTCTGTGGTAGAAGAAGGAAACTGTATTTCTCCATTTTCCTAGCTCAGTACTCAAACAGTTCACTGCCCACCTCCCTCCTCACCTGACACAGCACAATCAGAAGCATCCTGGGATACTGTAGGAAGGGGGGGCTCACTGGAGCCCCTATCAGCTTATGAGCTGTTTGAGTCAGTTCTGGTTGCTGTAGTTTATGATTTTCTTAGTCTCCCGAACCACTTCCAGCTCAGACAAGCATTTAAGATCATGCTAAAGAATTTAAAGCACTGAAAAAGATTGATTCTTTAGGAGCACAGCAAGTGTCTGATCAGTTCAAGTCCTGCTTCAGACTGCAGTCAGGATTAGGTGCTGTACTGAATTGTCCTCTCTGAGTATCACAAATTACAGGACTTTGGCACAGCGTCCCCCAAAGGGAAGAGGGCCTTCCGTTTTGTGATGTTAATCATTGTTGGAGGGGTTTATTGAAGATACCCAAGGGTCTCCCTGCTGGTCTAGTTCTCGGGTGGTGCTCCGGGCTTCAGCAGTCATTCTCCGAAATTTCTGCAGGTAGACAATGATGAAGATAACCAAGATACCCTGGAGGAAAAGGAGGATGAAGAGAGAGATCTGAGAGAGGAGAGCCAGGCTGCAGTACCAGTGCTGGCATGTGGAGATGATCTCATCTTCTGTCAGGTAGGCGATGATTCGGCCCTGCAGGTGCTCCGGGGAGCTGCATCTCACATCCCTGTACAGGCTCCGGTTCTGCTGCCACTGGAGCCAGGAGCGCAAGTAGAGGATGTCACACGTGCATTCCCAAGGGTTGCCATGCAGGTAGACTACCTGGAGGCTCCTCAGGTTGTCAAAGAGCCCATTAGGAATAGAGGTGAGCCTGTTGAAACCGAGGTGGATGATCTCAGCTGAAGGACGGAAAGCACTGGGCAGGTTTTCTACAGTCAGGTTTTTCAATGAGCAGTCAGTAATGTTGGTGGTGCACTTGCATGGCACAGGGCATATGGGAGCCACGAGTGGGAGGAAACCAAGGAGGAACAACAGAATTCCACTGCTCATTTTCACCTGCAAACAGTTCCTTGGTGAGATTGGATGAGGTGGAGACCAGACACCATGCACTCTAGGACTGACACCACAGCTAAGGTATTTTGTTCTGAGGATGAGTTCCTAAAGTTGGATAAATTTGGTGTTCTCCATGAGAGATGTGAGAGCTCTGAAAAAAACAGAGTTAAAAGGGAGCAAATTCTTGGTCTCTCACTATAGGAGAAAGAATTTTCATGGTCTTCCAACCCTGGATTTGAGGAGGGATACGAATACATGGCTACTGGAAGGCTTAGCTGCAGCCATCGAATGCACTTTCACTAGTCTTCAGAAGTGTACAAGAGCTGCTTGTGTTTTCAGCATTACTGGAGGTGAATTATCAGGGTAGCCAAGAAAATTTCTGCCAAGGAATCAAAAACTAGAATATGAAATTTTTCATGCCTTATCATAACTCTCGATTACATCTGTAAGCAAAGCTTTGTTCATGCAAACTGCAAGAGGAGATTCAGAAATAAATTTACTGTTACCATGAGTAAAAAATAGCCTTTCCAGCCTTGAAAAGAAGTGATAAACAGTCTTTGGCTGCAAAGAGGGTGCTGACCACTGAGGATGGAGGCCAGTGGAGGTTTTCATGCTAGACACTGCTCCAGCAGGTGAATAATCACCTGTGCTGGGAGACATGGGTCAATGAGCTTTTTTTATGTTACAGACTCATGCCACTACTGAACAGGAGCTGCTGTAACTTCTCCAGAACTACACATACCTGCAACAAGGCAGCATTTTTCTATGTTCGACAAATTGTAACTGTCAATCAATTTAAAGCAAAAGAAGAGTAGAAAGTAGCATTGTTGACTTACCAGAGTAGTTCAAGCCTTGCTTTCTTGCTGGCTTTACAACACAAGAGAAAGGTCTCCAGGCAGTCCAGCCAGTGCAAGAATGTGTGCATAGCTGTGCTCCCGGATAACCCCCTTGCAGCTGGCTGGCAAGATAAGGGTCAGGCTCATCCCAGGGACACCTCCCACGAGGCCTTCCTGCAAGTCACCGGAAGCTGAGGCTTCATTGAGCAAGTCTTCCAAGAAATGGGACCTGACACTGCTCACAAGAACACATTGGCTGGGAGAGATGCTGCCAGTACTGGTAACTGTGGATCTGGGCACACAGGCTCAGCACAACAGAAATGTTACCAAGTCTCAATGGCATAGTGACTCCAAATGCACTTCAGACTGGAAGGTGATGTGTTACTGGTTTGTACCATACTCCTTGAGCACTGTGACCTTTGGTTTCCCATCTCATCAGGAAAACTTGGCAGAGTGGTGACACCTAGCACTTCCTGGGTGCTGACCCTCAGGTTTCCCTTGAAGCAGTGACACAAATCTACCACTTATTAGTGAAAGATCTGCTGATAGACAGGGTCTTCCAGTCCATTCATCTTTCCAGAGGAAGATTCTTCAGACACTTGCATCCTCTCATGATCGTTATAGGGGTAAAATAGAACTCTTGGCATTTCACTGTCTACATCAAAATAAAACTAGTTGGATTCACAGGAAGGCGAACAGACTGTGAAAGACAGTGCCCTGAGGAACTGCTCTTCAGGCAGCCAAGTGAGCCCTTGACAAGTGCAGTTACTGAGAAAGACTGACCACATGCTTTATTCAGAAGCTGCATTACACAAACACTTCAACAGGTAAGTCCAAGGGTCAAAACTACATTCAGGCAGAATCACATCTTCCCATGGCCATCACATCTTCACCGACATTTCTCTGCCATCAGCCCGACCAGACATACACCACGCTCCTTAGCCTAAGGCCACCAGAATCACACTGTAAAACGATTGCCCCATTGAACTCAGCTCTGCTACATTGTACTGTGGACATCCTAGAGAACAGAAATTATGAATGCCCTGAATGTGCTCACGTTAAGAGAATTGAGGGTGCAAAGAATGGCAGAACGTGGCCCTAACCAAGTGAAAATTTTTATGCTCTAAAGAAAACAATAAAGTTTACATTTCTACAAAATTGGAGCAAATAATTCCAGTTGTTTCACTGTGGTGGCCAGGCAGAGTGGGAAAGAGATCTTAGGCTAGAAAATTAACCCAGTTTTTCCTGCAGGGCCTGCTTTCCACTTGGGAGCAGCTTGACTAATGCAGGGTAAGTGTTCAGCAAACTTACCTCGTCTCATGTGTTTGGTGCTATGTTTATTCACAGGCAGGTGTTCAGGCCAGGTGTGGCATGGAGGTGATCTAGAGCCAGACCCATTGTGGCTCTGCATGCAGCACAGACTTGGCAATGCTCTCCTGGCTACTTACAAACTGGATTTCCTGGAACTGGATCTTGCTCAGCTGACCATTGATGATTTAGACACCACTCCTAGGGAAAGCTTGAATATAGAAGAACTTCCAAGATCATCTTGCTAGCTTCTGGAATAAACAGGGCAGAAATCCCATGCAGGAAGCCTGCCTGAAACCTGCTCTGACTGAATTAGATAAAATGAGAAACAAGGTCAATTTTTCTCTCTCCTCCCCATAATGTATCACCAATGCTGCTCAAGGGTGCTGAAAATTAAACAGAAAGAGGTTGGATTTTTGAATGTATTTATTTCACTGATCAATTCAGGTAGTAAACATTAATAATAATAACAATAATCATTTAATAAAATGGATATGTTTAAAAGGTTTCATTTTCTTTGTTCACAATGACAAAATGTTCAAACAGAAATTTACAAAAAATATAATTATAATAACCCAACAGATGGACAGGAAACACAGAGCCTAGGAATGGAGCAGGGGGTGAGGAAGATGCATGGCAGGAGCAAGCCAGAATTAAAGCACAGCAGAGTTTGTGAGGAAGGGCAGGGAATGCCATTGCAGAGCACGAGGAGTGGGAGCCCCTTCTTTGAGGGGAGGCATGCAAGGAGGCAGCAAGGACTGCACAGGCAGGACCAGCACAGCAGGGCACACAAGGAGTTCATGCCATGGATCCATCCTGTCAGGCACAGGGGCCAAGATGTACCAACAGCCCCAGCTGCAGCCTGGGATAGCTGTGGAGTGGAAAATCATCCCTGCAGCCACTCACTCAACAGGGCAAAGCTTGGCAGAGGCATGGGAATGTGCTAGGGGGTGCAGGGATCACATGTGAGGTTGTGGAGGGTTGCATGAGGGGAGATGGTAAATTACTTTCCTGTCCACACTTCTCACTGCCAGAGCCATGTGGCCAAGCTCCCAGGAGTCTCTTCTCCACTTACTGTGAGAATTGATGCCACAGTACAACACACTCCTTAAATAAACAGATTCCACCTTCCAGGCCAGAATCTGAACCCCTGATGTCTCCCAAAATCAGTGTCTAATCCCCTTCCAAGCCGTCCCCAAATTCTGGCACTCAGGGCAGGGAATCTCCTAGGCAGAGACGAGATTTCAGTGGTACCACCACCCTTCTGTAGAAGCCATCTCTGGTGCCTCACTCGTATGTGTTTCTTCCTAAATGCAACTTGAACCATCTTTGCCAGCTCTTAGTCAAAGGCTTCAGCTCTTTGTAGAGGACAGGCTTGACTGGATGTAGGAGGCCTGTGCACTGAGGTGATGGAGACTTCCCCACGTGGAGGGATGGGCAGATCCACCCTCAGAACCCTGCCTGCCTGTGACCAGTGTACCCTGTCCTTTCACCAGCACAAAGCACCTCTGTGCACAAAACAGCATGAAAGGTGGCAGCTGCTCTATGTCCATGCTAAAGGGAAAAGGTCTCCTTTATCTTCTAGGAATGAATCTATTTGAAAGAGAAAAATCTCCAAGTGGACAGGGCTCATTTGCAACAGAACATCCTCCTCACCAAGATTAGTGTAAGAAAAGAACAACTGGACAAACCCTGACTGGAACTCTAAAGCCCCAGGGAGGAATCAGACAAATGCAGTGCCTAGTTACAGAATCTAGAGCCTGGCTATTCCTGGCCAACACTGTGCTTCCTACCCAGGGAGAATTACTGAGGAGAGCCAGAGATGGAGGAGGAGATACAAAAGGGGAAAGGGGACAGAGGAGTGAGCCAAGAAGAAGGGCCCAGCCCATGGCTGCACTCCCTGGAGTCAGAGGGAAGAGCCAAGTGTCTCTCCCTGCAACAACCCTGACTCCTGTGAGCGTGGCAGTGTTGCTGGTGAGCCCTGCCCTGTCAGGCACATCACACTCTGGCTGGACTCAAGTTAAAAATACTGCAGGAAGCAAGAACAGGACAGGAGCTGCTGCCCAAAGAGTGCTTTTATCTCTGCCCAGCAGATCCACCAGCCTTCCCAGCACTAGGGCAGGAAGAGCCAAGGAATAAGGAGGGGGAGAAGGGCTGAGTGCCCAGGGGAAAGGCAGGAGAGCAAGAGACAAGCCTGCTGGTCTGTGCTCAGCCCCACTCAATGACAGTCCTGCACCTGCCAGGCTGACCCAACACCTGCCCACACAGACTGCCTGCAGATCTCAGATATAAGCCTACAAAAACTGCCCCTTCCCCCAGGAGAAGCTTGGAGCCAGCAATGTGCTCATGGGACTGCAAAGCCTGGGGGCAGGGGACAGGTCTGCATTTGGGATTGGATTTCAGCCCTAGGGTTTATACTCTCTCCAAAGCAGTCTTGGCCAAGTGCTCTGGATGCCACAGTGCTTTTCAGAGCAGACACTGAAGACACACTGCAGCTGATGAGTAGAGCTAAATAATGAAACACCCTCAGCCAGCTACTGCAGGGCCTTAGGGTTCCTCTACCAATGCCTCCAGACTGCTATGGGAGGAAACCATGGCAGGGAAGGTGCTCACTCCCATCATCTCCTTGCAGAAATCAACAAGTCAACCTCTCTGCCAGAAAGATGTAACTGAGAACAGTTTGTCTCTAACTAGCCTTTGAGGCACTCGGTCTCTTGCTGTTCAGTGCAAACATCCTGGAGTTTTCTTGATAGGAAGAACAAAACCAATCAACTCAACAAAAAACCCAGAAAACCCTGAACAGGATACCAGGCAATCATCAAGACTCCTGAACAGGTCAGTGCACAGAGAAACCCCTAGCCCCAGTTCCCTGGGCCAGCACTGTCCCCAGGCTGAGAAGCCCAAGCAGCACAGGTCAAACTCACAGGAGGGTATGGCTGCCTTTACAATGCTTGTGCTGACCCCAGACAAGGGGAACAGAGACAGGGACACAGCACCTCAGTTGGGATAAACACTTACGTGCAATGACACAGATACTCTTTAAGCTTGTACACCAGAGAAACCAGGACTTTAAATACCAGAGCATTCCCAAACAAGAGATTAGTACATAGGACAGGGGGATCTTTTTCTTTTCTTATTTTTTTAGGATGCCTTAGAGACGTCCCAGACTAGTTTCTTTAAAAAAAAAAAAAAGGGGAAAAAAAAGAAATGAAAGAATAATTATTAAAAAAGAAATACACATCAGTAAACTGTTAAGTGAACAGCCTCCTCCACAATCCAGCTGGTCAAAAAGCCAGCACTGCTGCTAATAAATTAGAGGGTGCGGGTGCAGCTCTTGCCCACAAGTCTCTATACAATAGGAAACCTTTTCTAAACGTTCTCAGCTCTTGTCAGGTCTCAGATGGTCACTGGGGGATCCCCTCTGCCCTCTGGGTACCTGCCTCTCACTGATCTTGCATCTGCTGCTGCATCTTCTGCAGCATCTCTTGCATCCGCCGTAACTGCAGGAGACAAAAGAGAGAGTCAGAACCCACTATGGCAGCCACTATGGCAGCCCCTTGGAGCTGACAAGGGCATCCCTCAGGGAGTATTAATTCCTGCCTGAACACAGAAGCACCTGTGTCTGGGGTGGAATGGAGCTATGTTTCCCTGACAGAGGAAGCCACAGCTTTCACACCCTGTCCTCCACCCCAGGAGCCCACAGGGGGACACAGGAGTGGGAAGCCTCAGGACCGCCTCTATGGGGCAACCCTGGAGACACTCCTGGGATTCCAGCTCCAACATCCAGGAGGCACAGGCAGAAATGGTACTCACCTCCTCATCCTTCATCTTAATCAGCTTCTCTGTCTCAGTGTCTGGTGTTGGGAGAGGCAGGATAGGAATGGGGCTTTCTATCCTGTTGTCCTGAGTCAGCTTGCTAGAGAGATGGAGACGGGGGGGAAGAGCAGTCATTCGTGGTTCAGGATGGCTGGCTTTGACACATCACACAATGACTGCCACTCCCCATGGCAGAGCCACCAGTAATGCAGCATCACACACCCAACCAAGTGGAGAGGCCATAGGGCAATCCAGTCCAGAGCTGTGGCATGCACTTGGATGGAGAATGAGACCTCCTGTTCAGGATCTGGGAGGCATGAGACAGGCACAGCACAGCAGCATTGCTCTGAGGGCTGGGGTGCCCATGACTGCAGGTAGGGGACACAGGAAGGAGGTGATTTTCTTTCAAAAGACAGGAGCTCTCAGTACATGAGGAGGGAATGGTAGCAGACAAAGAAGTCTGGGCTGAAATTGGAACTTCAAGATGCCACTTGCACGTGTTCACCACTTGGAGTCACCATTGCCTCATTATTGAGACAATTCCAGCCTTGGAGCTTAGACTTTCCTTCCAAAAATGACTCCCCAGAAATGGCCCTGCGCTGGTTTTATGAAACTTGTTCACTGGCAAGGAACTAATCATGGCGTGAGAAACAGCACCAAACTGAAGCTTTCTCTAGGCATAGCAACCATGTTTTCACTGTGCTCTTCTTTTAATAGACACACAGCCTACCTAAATAGCAGCTGTGACACTGCTCACCCAGCTCTAGCATTTAGCATAGTTATTTTGGGACTCCATATACTTGCTGCTGAAAAAAACAGGCTTGCCTGCTATGCAAAAGTACTGGGATACACTGTGTCAGGAGAATGTGCCAACCTGCACATCAGCACACATGCAGGATTGCTTCTGGCTGAAGCACAGCCATTCTGCTCTGCAACGTGGCAGCACAGAGCTACCCAGCCAGGGCTGGCAGGAAGTGAAGGGAATGGTTCACAACAGAGGAGCCAAGACCTACTTAAACCCAATTTTTTCACCAGTATACCAGTCATGGAAGGGAGAAGGAAAAATAGAGGTCTCAAATGAGAAGCCTGTGAGTGTTCTCTCTTCTGATCATTCTGACTAAAACCACAGAGCATCAAATACAAAGGGAAAGCAGTGCAGAGAAATCTTTGGAGATGTGTTGTCTTACTAATTGTCTGAGCCCTGTTGTCTGAGAAACAGCAACATCCCAAAGGCCATGCTATTATTTAGACATAACTGCAGACCACAGAATGCATTCCTGTTCAGCAATGTACACAACTATCACTCACCAGAGAAATGGTTTATCCCATTTAATTAGGTTGGATGTATTTCATCCACTGCTAGAAACAGCTCTTCAAAAGAATCTCCAGGCCTATTTCTCTATATCTGCATGGGGAATCCTCAGACAGGAATATGGATTCTCAAGCACTCCTGCCTTGGATTCAGGCTGTGGGAAACATGCTTGGATTTGCTATTTTACTTCCAAGTGCTATTCCTGAAGGCTGCATCCCAGCAAGTCTCCAGCAGATCCACAGCCTCCTGGCCACATGAGCTGTTGTGAGAGCAACCCCTGCTCCACAGAGGGTGACAGACCCCTCCCACCAGAGATGGGAACCCACCTGGTCATTTGCTGGATGCACTGAGCTCGATAGTTCTCGTAGTGGACATCGCAAGTGACGTCCTTCAGGTCGTGCATGTGTGTCCGGATCAGCATGTTCCGCAGCTTCACGAAGTCACAGTGGGCCTGGTTTTCCACTGTGGAAGCAACAACAGGAGAGTGCTTGGATATCCCACCTCACCAGGCCTCTCCAGGGAGCCCCTTCTCAGCTCCTGGACAGCCAGACTGGACTAAAACCCCATCCCAGGGCTCCTTCCTCATCCTTCCTCATCATCTCCTGCCACTACCCTGGCACAGGTCTCAGTGGTGCTCTGCACTTCTCAACACTGAGCCAGGTGCTGAAGGCACTGTGCTCCCAGGACGTTTTCTGTGTAAAAGGATTAATTAAGCACATACAGCAGAGCCCTGAGAGAGGATCCCATGTACATGGGATGTCACTGCTACAACCACAGTGAGCACAGCTGGTGCTGGAGGTAAATTGCTTGTCTCATCAGAATTTAGGACTTATCAAAGGCCCCTGTAGACAAAATCAGCCCCTGAGGGGCTAAGCCAAGAGAAGGCAACGGAGAGCTGAAAGAGCTGCTGTTGCCATGGGGAGCCTGGCTCCAGACAGCACTGTGGGAAGCACTGTGCTGCTGTGATGATCTCCATTTGCCTCTCTGCAGGGCTGGGGAAAACCAGCTGTATCAGGCATAGGGGTTCACAAAGCTGATCCTACTGCCAAATGTCAGCATCCCGACAGGCACAGCCCCCTCTGGAGCCATTGAGGGAGCAGAGCCAACAGCTGGGCAGCCCAAGCAGCCAGCACCAGCCCACGAGTGCAAACACAAGCTTTTGGGATCTAAAGCTGCAAGGCCTTAAAGCAACAAACCAGCAAGGGCAAATCAGCAACAGCAGCAAAAGCCATTCCAGGGTTATTCTGCCTAAGGGCTTTATGAAATTTCTCCCTTTAGAAAGGAAGAAAGTTGGAAACAAACACTGTGCATCAGCACAGCCTCCAGCCCAGTAATTCCAGCACTTACAGGAGCAGCAGCAGAGGAGGGAGTGCATGAGGGTTTATGATTGTTTGGCTGAGGGCAACAGCTTCTCCCCAGAAAATAAATGGGCAATGTCCAGCCTCTCCTGCTTAATAAGAAGCCATGTCCTAGTGCACACTAAAGCTTAAGCATTCAGCCATTCACACTGGACCTCTCTTCCTCAGTCTGCAATGGGAGGGTTGTTGATATATTCCCAGTAACACAGACCTCCTGAGCCAGACCCAGTGCCTCTGTCTCTGCCCTACCTTGTCCCCTGCTGTGTGCCAAAGGTGGCACAGAGAGTCCAAGCTCTCCCCTGCCATCCCTGTTGGAAATGCCTGTCTGTCCTTGCCCTGTCCCTGCCTGCCCCTCTTCCCAGTGCTTCCAGGCTCCAGCTTACCTTCCACAATGCCCCAGGGGTAGAGCCTCCCACGGACCCGCTGGCCTTTTGCCTCCACCACAGTGTTGCTGCCGATGACGGCGAAGGGAGCGCTCTCCTGGAACGAGAGGCACTGCTGAGCCCAGCCCAGCCCCGGGCTGCCCATGGATCCCTTCTCCAGGGGCCAAGCTCAGGCTCAGCAGAACAGCAGGAGGAAGGTACTGGTAGGAAAGGCACAGGGACATCCACACATACCAGAGCAGGACACCACAACCCAGATCTAGAGAAAGGCCTAAAGCACTGGGATCTACAGGCAGCCTAGTTCCCAGCCTGACCTCAGCTGTCCTGAGGGAAGCTGTGTCTCTGCAGGTGCCTGCATCCCTTCATTAAGGGGAAGTTCTACAAGGAAGCCAGAGCAAAGAGGCTGGGACACCAAGCAAGTGGTGCTGTACACCAAGAGCAGGAATATACAGGCTGTGCTCTTCTCTGATCACAAGGGAGTCAAAGCCCATTGCCCCACTCTGACAGGAGAAACAAGGCCATATTGCACGTACACACAGCTTTGGGAGGCAGTGAGGACTCAGCTCCTGGGGCCTCCAGATATGCTTGTATGATCATATTGTGTCTCCCAATGCAAATAATGTGTCATAGTGGTGCCTGATCACTCACAAATCTCTCCTCCTTGCTGATGGTATCACCCAGAAACAGGTGCTCAGAACTGCTGTACAACCCAGCTTTCATCTTAAACACACAGGCTGGGACAGATGGAAGAAAGACTGACACTGCCTAGAGGGAGAGCAGAGGGGCCATGAGTTCATGCCACACTTGATTCCATGGCACCAGCAGGGACATCAGCACCTTCTCCAGGCCCTCTACCACATGAGCCAAGGCTGTTCCCTGGGGAGCAGTAGCACAGGCCTTCCGCACAAGCAGGACAGCTCTGGCTCCTTCTGGACTGACCCACATACCCATGAGCTTGATTTCCCAGACCCTGCTGAGCAGATTCCTCACCTTCAGCTCTCTGTCTTGCTGCTTGAATTCCTCATCTTCATCAGAGTCACACTCAGGAAACTGGTACACTTTAATGCCAAATTTGTCAATCTCTTCCCGGATCTGTGCCCATGCAAGACAAAACCAAAAGGGATGTAAAACTGAACAATACAGAAATGCTGGGTTTATTCTGTTTGTGCTACCATGGTTTGCTATAGCCTACAGATGGCAAAAGGATTTGATGTTTCTTCTACAGTCAGCCTCTCTCCTGACTTCCCTTCTCACAGCAGAGCATGGCTGCAGCTGTATGTGCAAATACTGCATATGTGTGTATATATATATATACACAAACACACTGAACAGACACATAAATACATACATGTCTATCTCCCCATCCTCCTCAGCTCATCCCTGCCACTACTTCAGGTGTAACTCTGTAGAGAAAGAGCATCTCACCCTCTCCTTTAGCTTCCGGATCTCAGAGGGGATCAGGCAGTCGGCTTTGGCAATCAGTGGCACAATGTTGACCTTCTCATGCAGAGCCTTCATGAACTCAACATCCACAGGCCTCAGCCTGCAGCAGGGATGAGGGACACTGTTAGCAAAGACACACTGGGCAGCTCCCCCTCCAGCCTCTCACCCACCCAGCACAAAGGGAAAAGGACAGTACTGTCACAAGAGCCTGCAGCAGCACTGGGACAGCTCTCAGCTAGGGCTGTACCTTCAGGAGAGCTGTCTCCAATTTTAGCTGCTGAGTATCTCATACAGACACCCACTGGGCATTTGCTCCCTTGCAGGTAAGTACTGCCCAGGCCGCAGCCTGGGGTCTCCCTCCAGCTGTTCTGTACCACAGGCAGCCAACACAGCCCCTTCAGTTGCTCTAGGCTAGGCTGACACAGGAGCCAAAAAGGGGCAGAGATTGATGGCAGCTTAAAACTCCCTTTCCTACACATCAGTCCAGCTTAGCTAGACAGGAACGTACAGGTCTGCATGGCATTATTTCTCCTGATTTTCCAATCAGGCTGTAAGGCCTGAGGGAGATCTGCTCTGCCTGTTCATAGGCAGTCTGTCTTGCCAGTGAGGGAAGGGAATGCTGTGATGCTTAGCAGTGGAAGAACAGCCAGACAGCTCCTCCCCTGTGCCAATGGCCCTGGCAGTGTACAAGCTGCTACAGGGCAGTCCTGGGGCACAATGGTCTTCCCTCTGGACTGAGTCACCCCCTAGGTCTGGAGGTCTGGAGTGTGGGCTCTCACCCATGCCCAAAGGGAGAGATGAAGTAGAGGCAGCAATGCACTCGGTTGTCCTGGATGTTCTTCCGGTTCAGGCCACTCTCATCACGGAAATACTGCTCAAACTGCTGGTCAATGTAGTCAGTGATGGGCTTCCAGCTGGGAAGGGCAATTCAATCAAAACAAAATCATCAGTAATGTCTCCTGTCTCCTAATGACTGTGAGGTTAAGGACAAAAAGGAAGGCAGCAGTGCCCTGCTCACCACTCCGTGTTGTTAACAGCATCTCCAAAGCCTGGTGTGTCCACTATAGTCAGCTTCAGCTTGACACCCTTCTCCTCAATGTCCACCGTGTGCTTGATGATCTCCACTGTCTGGTTGATCCTCTCTTTGAACAGGAGCACGTGAGTTAAAGCCAGGCAGTAATGCTGGGGATCCCCACTGCACCCATGACAAGCCAGCTCCCTCTTATCACTGAACACAGGGAGTAACAGAGGTTTCAAAAACCCCAGATCATGCTCTAAGGAACCTCAAGGGAGTGGTACTTCAGGAGGCCAGCAGCAGGCAGACAGACTCCAAGAACATACACAAACCTCTGATATGCCTGTAGCCCAGCTGTTCTGAACATTTTGTCCAGTCACTGGGGAAAGAGAATCCCTACCATACACCAGCATCCAAAAACAAAAGATGAATCTCAATACCTCATCTCAAAGGGCTAGTGCTGCTCTGCAGCCTCATCTTCCCTTCAAAGGACAGAAAAGCCCTGCAGCCAAACCCTTTTTGCTTGATTCTAGTGCCTTAGCAGACACAAAGGAGAGCAGAGCCACAAACAAGAGGGCTGGGATCCAGCCAAACTTGTAGCTGCTGCTGAAGCAAGGAACCAAAGTGCTAGTCCTTAGGACAGTCCCATTCACCCCGCTTTGCCCTCAACTTACCCTCTGCATTGAGGAGCTTTCTGTCTTTGTAGAGGTCTGTCAGGAACAGGCTATTCACCAGCGTGGATTTGCCCAGACCCGACTCTCCTAATTGACAGAGTGCAAAGGGGAGGAGGAAAAAGCAAGCAACATGACCCACTAATTGACTTACAAATGCAACTTTGAACAAGGCTTTGAATCCTGAGCCAGAGGAAGCAAGAGAGACAAGCTGTCAGGAGCTGTTTATTGGTACTACATTTTTCCAGCAGTGGAAAGACTTTTGCTGCAAGATGTCTCAATCCTTGTATGAATGTGATCTCCCGGCTCCCCCGTTCTCCCTCTCCTTCCTTTCCCTCAGTCCCTGTTCAGCCCTGCCTTCACCCAGAGTAGTCACTGTTGGAGGAAAAGCCTGCTCGAGTGGGTTCTGAGGGGTCAGGAGGGGCCCATTCCTCCTGGGGGAACTGCCACAGGCTGGGGAGCAGAGCAAGGGGAGGATCCAGGCACTATGGGAGCACCTAAGGGAAGTGAGGAGAGCTGGTTCCTCCCCATATCCACCATGTGGCCCAGCCACCCCCATCCACGGGCAGTCTCACCTGCAACCATCAGGGTGAAGTCAAAACCCTTCTTCACGGATTTCCGGTGGACCTGGTTCGGCAGGGTGGCAAAGCCCACGTACTGCTTCTCATGGTCCTGTGGGTCAGAGACGGATGGCAGCAGATCAGAGTGTGCCACCTCTTCTGCTTGAGCCTCATACAGTGACAAGGAGTGGGACTCACAAAGCCCCTGGGGCAGAGCCAAGGGCTGGAGCAGAGGCTGGTCCCTGCTCTGGCAGCAGTGCAGGGCAAGGCACACACCTCTTCTGGGCCTAGGGACTTGGCCCTTCCCACAGGTGGGACATGTCCCAGCCACAGTCCTGCTTAGCTACTCTCCCAGCAGCTTCCCAGCACAGAGAGTACAAGGGAAAAGGCATGTCCTACCATTCCTACCAGAGAGCACATCCACAGACAGCCTTCCTAACTCTGCTCCATCTGCACAGTCACCAAATGCCACCTCTCCCCAGCTCATTTCCACATCCTTCCCACCAGAGGCACCTGTGCTACATGATGGAGAGCTCTGTAATTAGCACCCTGGGGCTTGCACTGTCCTGAGCCATGTCTAGAGGAAGGTACAGTGGCTCAGCTTCTGCCTGATCTAAGAGGGGATTATTTCTTGCTGTGTCACAGCCACTCCTGGCTGAATAAGAGGAAATCCTGAGTAATCTCTTGTGTTATTTCTGAAGAGAGCAAAGTTCAAGGAGCATGGGAAGTGGAAGGATGTGGAAATATTGATAATAGAACTAAGATTACTTTGGTGAGGGTCTTACATTTTGTATCACTGGAGTGTTACCTACCATCTAACCACCCCCAGATACAGCCCCTTGTCACCGAGTGCTCTCTCACAGCACAAAATCCACAGGCACCCCACAAGCATGGCACATGCTCTGGACAAGCACACTAAACCATTCACAAATGCCTGAGCTAAAAACATGATAGACTCTGCATTTCAACATCACTGGATATAATCATACTACTGGGATTCACACCACAGACACATCTGAGCCAGGAGTTCCTCAAAACTGGCCCTAGCTCCTATTCCATGGATGCCTTCAAGCACATGACTGTTCTCACCCATTCTTCAGGCACAGCAGGGAACACCTCTGTTCATAAGTTTAACTATCTCCATTCCTGAGCCACACACTCAAAGAAATACAAAATATGATCCAGGATGCCGAGCTTCAGGCAACGCTGACTTGCACCTATTTCCACACTGCAGGTGGGCAACAGCTCTCTACAGCTGCATGTCCACCTGTGTGAGAATCCCTGGGCATCCTCAGTCTGACAGACTGCAAAGTTCCACTGGGGACACTGAGCAGGGAAGATAGAGAGTCTTCTCCTCCCAGTTTATGGCTGCTCTGGAGCTGCCCACTGAGATGGAACAGATGGAACTGATGGCCATCATGGCCCAAGGACTCTGTCCTTTAGCACTGTCACCACCTTCCAGCAATTGATGTTTGGTTTGGGTCTGAAACTTGGTCATTTTAGCCCTGAGTGATTGTGGGTTCTGATCTCCCTCACCTCCCATAGCTGAAGTACTGTTGTTTCACCACTCCATAGTCTAGAAATGCAGGAAGGGACACAGAAAATGAAATTAGAGAAAAGGGGAGAATAAGAGAGCGCCCAAAGTGCTCCCTTGGCAGCTGTAATGACTGATCTAAAAGGCAGTGACATCCCGAGCAGCAGTGCAGCGAGTGCAGTGAGACCCCCGGGTGATGAGTGATGGCAGCTCTGATGAGCTGCACGCAGCAAAGCAATGCCTGCCTGGGGGACACCACAAGCTGCCACCCAAAGGGCTCAGTAAAGGGCAAATGAGGTGCACAAAGCAAAGTGAGAAACGTGATAATGGCAAGGTCACAAAAACAAGGAGGAAAAGGCTGCTTCCAGCCTCTGCCTCTCAGGAGCAGAGCTGTCTCACAGCTGCTTCACTTCCTGGTAAAACACATCCACGAGCACAGCCAAAGTGGACACAAAACAGCCAACACCTCACAGTAAAACGTCCAGTGTTTCCCAGCAAGCACCACAAATATACAACAGACTTTCCTTTTGTGCTTCTCCTGCCCTGATCTTTACCAGACTTTCTGATCACTCGCTCACTCCAGTGACTTGACATGTGAAGTAGCACCAGTAATGTGCTAATGCAACCATGGCTGAGGCTTGGGGTGTGTTTCTCTTGTTTTGTTAGGTTTTTAACCTAGATGACTAAGGGCTGACAATGGAGACACTGGGAAGCTGCACTCTGGTGCAACTCCACTTTCTTCTGCCAGGTGTAACTGGCTGAACCTGATCTCTCATTTCTGTTCAGCCCAACCAAGAGAGCATGGATTTACTGTACCTCTTGTTACTCCCCATAGCTCTGTGGAACCATGATATTCAAAATGAGCAAATCTCAGCTGGTGCAGGACACTACCCTTTACCCATGACTCATGCAGTCATTTCCTTTGCAGAAAGGAAGGTCAGTGCTGAGCGTGATACCAACAGAAGAGCTTCCCTCACTATGGGAGCCAGCCAGACCCGTGAGGGGAAAAGCCATGTCCCTAGCCATGTCTCCCTCTGACCAGCCATGGATACACTGCAGAGCCCTGTCAAGGGTGAAGGCAAGAGATGCAAGGTGAGTTGTGAGGAGGGATCCCCTCCTTATAACAACCCTCCCCAAGAACAGCAGTGTGATCTCTTGACTTGTGGTTCTTCACCAGCCTTGACTTGTAGCTCTTCACCTTCACTTTGAGACACTCAGTTTGTGCTCCTATCCCAGTCATATTCAGGCACTGTGACAGGCACATACCATCACGTCTGCCAGCATGGCAACATCAACCTGGCACTTAAGGAGCCCAGCTAGCCTTCTGAGCCTGTGCTTTGCTCAAAGCTCTACACCACTCACCATCTCCAGGTAGTATCTGCAGAGCAACCATGTATGGGTTGGAGAACTTGGGAGGGCTACTGACAGAGACAGGGGGCTTTCTGGGTTATAAAAAGCTAGAATTCTTTAATTATATGAGAGGCTTGGATGGAGGGTGTTCCTAAATGCATCACAGCCCCCCCCCTGCACTCTTAACCCTCACAAGCCAGGTCCCATCAAGCTGACAAAAGCCAGGACAGCTGGTTCCTGCACTGTGCTTCCCTGCCAACTCCAGCTGTCAGGACAGGGCCTCAGCCAGCCAAGCCAGCAGCCCTCTGGCACAAGGAGCCCCTCTCCCACCGCCTGCTCCATGCTGCTGCCTTTGTTCCCGCTGGCATCCCACTACACGTGCCTGGGAACGTGCCCCACACAGCACCACAGAGGCCACCAGAGATGTGGCCAAACTTTGGGACCCTGTCACAAACCAAAGCACCCCAGGCCAAGCAAAACACACCCGTACTCTCCTTTGGCACGCGTTTGCTGGTTCACCAGACATTACACAACAAATCACATCCTCACATCCTCTAACAGCTGGCCGAGGTGGCCAGGGCTCCCCTTACAGCCAGTGCTCTCCCTGGGAGTTCAAGCCAAGCAACAAAGCCCTGGGTGGGCTCAAGCCCTGTCCCTGTTGGGGGCATAGAAACATTCAGGATGTGTTGCACAGAGGAGAAGCTATCCTGGTACTGAGGTGTTCACAGAGTTGTCTGCTCCTCCAAGGCAGAGTACAACCTCCATCATTCCTGTCCTTCCCAATTCCCTCCTCACATCTCTGGAGGATGTGCTGTTTAAACCAACCCAGATCTCACGTGACTTCACCATTCAGCCTGGGGATAAAAGGGACCTTGCTGGCTATATTCAAAAGGCTAACATTAAACATCATGGGACCACCGCAAATTTGAAGAATATCAAAGACCTATCAAGGTCTGGAGCAAGCCCCAGAAACGATGGAGCTGTGCTAGGACCCTGGCGCCTCTGCCTCTTCAGGGGGAAGGGGCTCTGTTGCTGTCACATCCTTCAGCACAAGCCATCCCAGGCAGCCCTTCCTGCAGCCTTTCCCCTCCGGCCAGGCACGGCCGCCGCATCCGCGTCTGCAGGAGCCAGCACAGCTCAGCCCTGGAGAGGCAGACTCTTTGCTTCCTTTCATTGCAGAAAGCTGCATAAATTCATAACACAAACAGCCCCCGAGGCATCTGCCACGGACATCTGCTCCTCGGGCCAGAGGCTGAGCACAGGAGTATCGGCAAAACCACTCGCCCACCAGCATTTGCCGAAGAGAAAGAATGCGGCCAGCAAAGCACAGCATTAACACAGTGTTAATTAACACAAATCGGACTGCGTGTGGGCATACACAGCACTGACTCCTGCCCTGAGCCCCCCCCATTCAGCACAGGCCGTTCAGCCAGGGAATCACTGCATCAATAACCGCACCAAAGCGCCGCGATCTCGCAGCCGCCCCCCGCGCCCCTCGGCCCCGCGCCCGCGGGGGCTGCTCCCCTCCTTTCTGTGCCCGCCGTCCCTCCCTTACCGGCGTCTTTCCGCTCCTCTGCTCCTCAGAGGTCTCATCTTGTGCTGCGCGCGTCTTCTCGGGCACCATCCTCCCCCCTCCTGTCCCCGCTGCTCCCCGGCTCGCGCAGTGCTATAAATACATCCCTGTACCTTCAGCTTGCCTGGGTGGCTTCGCTGTGCCTGCGTCCGGGGAGACAGCAGCCGCTCCACTAACCGCTCCTGAATAATGATCGAATCCATAACCGCGGCTGGCAGGACGGACGGACACCCACCGCGGGACAAGGGAAAAAACCCCAACCCATGTGTTCCCTCCCAGCCTTCGCTAAATCCATGCGGCAGCCCCCCCGCCTACGCGTGCACACACACGCAGGGCTGGCTCGGCTCGCCTCGGTGCCGAGGCGAGGCGAGGAGGAGAGGCGAGGAGAGGCGAGGAAAGGCGAGGAGGCTCCCAAGCAGCTGCCCGGGATTTCCTGCCTCCGCCTGTGCCGCGGGAGGAGCCTGCCAGCGAGGACAGGACAAAGGCCACCGCGGCCGCAGGCCAGAGGCGATGTCGCTCGCCCCACCAGTGTCCCGCGGAGAGGCTGCGCACGTACCGGATGCTGTCCCTGCCATCAGGCTGACTCCGCGTGACAGATGGGCCTATTCAGCTGCAGGATTTCTTACATACCCTGCCTGACGCGGCCGAGACAAAGGTTTGCCGGAGGAAACCTGCTCCCGCAAAAATGTGCTGCTTCTGGCTATGTGAGTGGAGGTTCCAAGGGTCCACAAAGCCCCCCAGTAGCTCAGATCGTTCAAATATTCAAACCTCAAAAGCTTCAAATATAACCCTCAGATGGCAGTCCTGGTTTACATGGATCTGTCCCCACGTGGTGGAGGCTGAGCTCTTGTCTACTCCAGGCTCTATTGCAGCTTCATCTCTGAATCCAGTTAGACTAGCAGCAGATGCATTCTGGATCTTACAGCAACCATTCAAGCTCTGAAGATGTTTCAGAATAAGGAAGTATCTGTGTGTTCATTAAGCAGATGGACCCAACCCAACAGCAGCCCAGCACGCCAAAAAAGTAATTCAAATATCAAGTCTGGGTTCTGAACCTTTCTATAAAATATGCCCTCCAGCTTTTCTGTGCAGCCATAGAAACTGAACAGGAATTTATATGAAATAGGCAAAAGCTCCTAATGTCATATAATCACATCATTCTGGAAACCAGGGGGTTAATACCACAGCATGTATAATGAAGTGACAGTAGATGACAGCACTAGTGGTGCTGGAGGAACCTGTCCCTTGCCCCACGGGTTCCTGAGCAGCTTTCTGCTCACCAATGGGAAGGACACAGGCTGCAGCCACACTCCTGCCTCACTCTCAGCCAGAGCTCCTGCTGCTTCTCTGGGATCTGCAGGGCTCCAGCAGTGACTCCACAGAGTGCCAGACCAGCAAGGCCTGCCCTGGTTACCGTGGGCTACAATCCAGGGCCTCCACCATGTACCCCAAGCCTGGCTGACACCAGGTTCTGTTATAAGGTACTGAGTCACTAAAAGGTCCAGTGGCCAAAGTCTGGGAGCAGCTGTGAGCATGCAAAGGAAAGAAGAGGGGGAAGACCCCCAATGTTTTACTATGCTGCCATCCTACAAGATAGGTGATGTCAGAAGTCACAGGCACAAGGTCCTAAAGGCTGATAAAAATAAATGGAGGAGAACTGGGAAACACTCCCAGAGCAGGAAAACTCATGCCATACAACAGCTGTCATACCACACGCACGAAACCCTTCTCCAAACCATCCTGCTCAGCCAGTGGCATCCTTAATTACACTCACTGAGTTTTGCTCCCAGTTGTTTCTTTGTGTAGCAGTCAAGCAGAAGGCCTGGACTGAGATCCAGGTGTGGCAGGAATTGTCACTGCTCAGAACATGTCCATCTTTGGTGCCTCTGCCCTCACTCTGTAGCATTGCTCCATTCCCCAGGGAGCTGACAGCCCTGCATTGGTCTCCCAGCTCAGTGGTAGGTCAGGCAATGCTCATGACACATCTTCTTCCTCCTAGATTCACCTAATCCTTGCTTTCCAGGACCTGGGGACTCTTCTACCAGGATCTGCAACTGGCACATGACTGAGGAGCAGTGATAGTACTGCACTGCCTTGCACTGGGCAGCAAGAGCAATAGCTTGTGGCACACCCAAGGTGCACCCAAACCTTCTTAAGATAACAGGAGGTTTCACCAGTCCTTCCACACCATAAACCACAATAGCTGCAAGCAAACCCTCTCCAAGTCCCATGAATTCTCATGGCTTGGAAAACCCTTGTCTGAGGGCCACAGGCCATATGGCCACCAACCACAAGCATCTTGCAAAGGCACATGGAGACATGCTGTGTCCCCACGAGCCCACTGCACCAAATCAGAACATTCTTTTGGGCTGCGATCACAGATGAAGTCAACAATAATTTGGTTGCGACAAAACCACAGTGTTGTTCATGGCCCTAGGAGCTGTGCTGACAGTGCAGAGAGGAACAAGGAACTACTGTCTCCCAAGTGCCTTGAGCTCTCACACAGCACACATGCTCTCAGGACTGACAGCCAGGATGAAATTCCAGTCAGAAGGCCATGCCTGACAACTCAGAAAGCAGATTAGGAAAAGATACAGAAGAGTAGGTCTTGGCTACAGAGATCATCTTAAGACTGAGTGGCCAATGCTATGGCTTCCAAAATGCTGAAGGACAGTCAACTGGTCTCAGCCTCTCCTGTCCCTCCTAGAGATGCTCATGTGGCATCCTCAGAGTCACCAAACCATAAATGATAGACTCGTTTGTGTCCCTCAGATGTGCCGCATGACACACCCAGAACTGTTGGCTCAGGCTGATCTGTGTCCAAACTTCCCAAAGACAGACAAGCCAATCTTGTTTTGCCCCTGTTCTTTCTGATCACAATCCTCTTTCTACACAGCCCTTAGAAATGTCCAGTGTAAATCCTGGCCTGCTCCTCCAGCAAGAAATCTGATGCAAACCATCCTTAAATAAGAAAAACAGAGGACATCTCGTGCAGTGTGCAGCAGAACTCAGTAGGGAAGAACTTGGCACTTCCAAGATCTAGAGCAAATCCAGAGTGTTTTCTTCCACTGGCACCTCTAAGGTCCTCTCCAGGCAAGGCTGCATGATCCAGGCTTCTGAGTGTCAGAGCAGACATCCCCAAACTGCCCAGCCCCAATCTGCCAAACAGTCAGCAAGGACAACACAGGCATGGGGTGCATCAAGCTCTTTGTCAACCTGTGACAGCAGAGAAGTCCTCCACCTGCGGGGGAGCTGTTTTCTGGCAGAGATGCTGTGGCTTAGGGACTGCAGTGCTCAAGCTCCATTCTTGGTGAACAACAAGGAGCATGCCATGAAAGGAAAATCTTCAGCCTGATCCAGACTGATGCTTTTGAGCAGCACAGAGCCAGGCAACAGAGTCTCTCTAGGGATGCACCCAGCCAGCCTGGCCTGCATGGAAGAGTGGTGAAACTGCATATCCATGGCTTGGCAGGGTCAGCACAGGCACGTAATAACAGCATTTGTGTTTCTTCCTCTGAAGTAACTAAGCTATTTTCAGAATTCCCCACAGAAGGGAAATTTTCTTCCTAGCTGTTTTCTAGGACGAAGGGAAGGGCAGTTCCAGAGAAGCTGTTTGCTCAAGCTGAACAGGAGCAGCAGCAGGCAGCAAACCCATTCTCAGCTTGGACCAGGGCAATGGAGGCTGAGGAACAGCAGATATCCTCCATGCAGGTGCATAGCTGGGAACCTCCAGGGCTCAGTTACCACCTTCTTCTCCTGCTGCCTCCTCTCCCACTATAAGGAACATCAGTGCTGACTTCAGACAGATGAATCTCATGGGTATCACAAGGTCTGAACTCTGCTGCTCCATCACCAGCAGAGCTGCAGATGAGGCTCCTGCTGACCTGATCCAAGGGAAAATCCTTGCTGATCTAAACTCTGATGAATAATTTAATCTTGAACTTGCAAGCAAGGCTCCATGTAAGTGGCTTCTGGGAGCATCAGAGCCCTAGTGCTTTAGCCAGGCTTCATCCTATGATGCTCAGGAAAAAGCAAGATACCAGACAAGAAATGCAGAAATCCTAAAGCACAGGATTAGTTCCCTGTATGTTCAGTGCCACAAGCACCATCTGCACAGCAGTCAGATCTCATATTTTCTTTTACCTATCCCACAGGTCAAACTTTTAATTTCCGCTCAAGGATCACTGCTGCTTTGTCACATAATCCCTCCAGAAATGTATCAAATTCTATTTCAAAGGTATTTATGCTCTCTGCTTCCACTTGAAGTGCCTCGTGCTTCCCAAGAAGCACTGTGTGACTCATGCAATGCCTCCACTTCCAGCTCTTAAAAAGGAGCTACGACCGTAATTTGCCTCCTGCTTGTTTAAACTCGTGACTTGCTCTGGAGCGAGTTCACAGAGCTTCTCACACCCAGCTCCTCATTTAGGATAATCTTCACGATATAACAAACTGGGCAGACGTGGAGCTGCCCGGATCTCTTGCAGCCACGCCTCGGTCGCTGCCCGCTCCTGTCCCCGGGAGGAGCCGCTGCGGTACCGGCGCGTTCCGCGCGAGGGAGAAGCCGGCCCACGCCAGGGCCGTGTCCGAGCAGGGAGCGCCCAGGCGGCTTCCCTGGCCAGGCCACACGGGAATCAACGTGCAGGTCAAACCTGCTGCCCTCGCTGCTTCCTCCGGTTGCGAACACATTCCTTAGGACAGGACAGAGGTTTCCAAATTTAGCCTGTTACGACAGAAGGAGAAACCAGGTGGTGAAGGAAGATCTGCGGCAGTCTCGGCACTACTGCTGCTCATCTCTCCCTCCTATTCATCCTCCAGCTCTGCAGCACAAATCAGGCTTAAATAGATGCCCGGCCTCTCATCTCACAGCTACAGCTGGGAAAACCAGGGAGAGGCAGAACAGAGCGCTGCTAGCCCTGGGAACAACGTTTGGGAGACAAACAGGTGCATGTTGCTCTGGGGCACAGAAGCTGGCTGGGCAGAGAATGGTTTGGTGGAAGAGGATGGAAAATAATGGTGATTTGTCCTCTGCAATGGAAAGGCATAGCTTCTTCCAGCTCTCAGGTTCTCCATCCAAATGACAAGAATATCAGTTTAGGAAGTTCTTGATGCATGTTAACATACATGAATAGAAAAAGGTTGGGGACAGGATCCTACAGAAGGTGCAGTGTAAGTTACAGGTAGTGGTCCCAATCCTGCGATCCTTACTCACCGAGTAGTCCCTTTGAAATAGAGACGACTGCTCACATGAGTAAGGGATGCAGGATCAGGCCTGTCTACCAAAGAGGCTGAATCCTGAACCGGAGAGTTCATCACGGCCTCTGAGCATTGTGACACACCTACACCTGGTCCAGCACGAGCTAATCCAAGGGCATCACAGGGGAAGACAGTCCAGGCTGGCCACCACACCTTCCAACAGCACACTGAGCACAGACCAT